AAAAAAAAAAAAAAAAAAAAAGTCACCAGGCACAGTGGCTCACACAGCCTGGGATACTTGGTGAGACCTTGTCTCTACAATTAAAAAAAAAAAAAGCCAGGCATGTAGGACCTGTAGTTCCAGCTACTTGGAAGGCTGAAGCAGCAGGATTGCCTGAGCCCAGCAGGTGTAGGCTGTGGTGGCCTTGAGTGAGACTCTGACTCAAAATAAATAAATAAAAGTAATAATAGAGCCAGGCACAGTGGCTCATGCCTGTAATCCCAGCACTTTGGGAAGCCCAGGCGGGAGGACTGCCTGAGCCCAGGAGTTCAAGACCTGCCTGGGCAACATAGCAAGACCTCATCTCTACAATATATTAAAAAAATTAGTCGAGTGTGGTGGCACACACCTGTAGTCCCAGCTACTTGGGAGGCTGGGACGGAAGGATCGCCTGAGCCCAGGAGGTCGAGGCTGCCATTGCACACTCCAGCTTGGGTGACAGAATGAGACCCTGACTCAAAAATAATAACAAACCAAAAGAATTCCAGCAAGGGAGCAGTTCAATGATGAGATTAGGGCAAGTGACCAGCAGCCATGAGGGTATACCCAGGATGGAGCAGGGGACATTCATGTAGGAGCAAGCTCCAGCCACAAGAAAGGAGGAGCCAGCCATGTGGAGGATGCAGAAGAGCACTCCAGGCTGAAGGAACTGCAAGGCTGGGGGTGGAGACTCAGAGTGAGACCAGAAGGCCCAACGCCTAGGGGTGGGGCTGGCTGCTTCTGCCTAGGGCCCGCCGGCTCTGGCCTGCTGGCAGCTGCCTGGCACCTGAGGAAGCCCTGCCTTTCCTGGAGACAGCAGCAAAGGGCTGGGAGTGTCTCCTTCCTTCTCCTTGAGGAAGCGCCAAAGGGATGGAACCACGACTGGGAGGAGCCTGCTTCCCACCAAGCTGCCCCAATAACCCTCCCATCCTCCTGGGGCTCAGGCCCCCTCACTCCCCCTCAATCCTCCCCCCACCAGCTCGGCTGACTGGCCCAGCCTCCACAAGGCTGCTGCCCAATCCAGGCCCCGTCACTGCTCACCTGGACCAGAGCAATGTGGAACAGCATGTGCAGAATGCTTAGAGACTAGAGAAGTAACCCCCCTCTCCTGTCTCCTGGCTGCCGCTTCTGCAGCCTCAAGAGGGCATCAGTGAGCCCCTAAGTCAGGGCATGTCCCTGCTCCGCCCAGATCCCTCCATGGTTCCCACCTCCCTGCCCTTCTCACCTCCAATGCTTTGCTCACTCTGCCCACACTGACCTGCTGGCTGTTCCTCAGGGCAGTTCCTACCTCAGGGCCTTTGCACATTCAGTACCCTCTGCTTGGTACATGCCTCCCCCAGGATATTGGGGTGGCTTTATCCTCATCTCCCAGTCTGCGCTCAGATGTCACCTTCTCACTAATTCTTTCCAGATTCCTGTTTTTTTTTTTGAGTCAGAGTTCCACTCTGTCACCCAGGCTGGAGAGCAATGGCATACTCACAGTTACCACAGCGTCGACCTGCTGGGCTCTGGTGATCCTGCCGCCTTCCAAGTAGCCGGAAATACAGGCGCACACTACCATGCCTGGCTAATTTTTTTTTTTGGCACATCACTCCTTTATTACACTGATCTGTAAAGACATAGTACAGTTATGCTCAGAATGAACACGGCCCGAGGCGGGGCAAGCAACCAGAACATGATTCAGAAGCCAGTCAGTGACAGACACACCTGGACGTGATGAGGCCTCTCACCGGCCAAGGAGGGACTGGACACACAGCGGGCGGCTTGACCCCTCAGGGCCAAGGAGCTGGACCCGTGTTGGTGCAAGGAATGGCCTGTTCTGGGCGCCACTAGAAGCCCCGGAAGGGTTTTGTTTTGTATTATTTATACATATTTTTTGTAAAAGTAAATGCAACACATAGACCTGCTTCAGGATTGATCCCAACCTTCTGGAGCCAGTGCCTCTGGGGCCAGGGAGGAAAGGGTTGCTTCTGAACCGCAGTGCAGGTGACACTCTTCTGCACTGGAATGACTGCAGCCCCAGCCGGTGCCCTGAGCAGAGGACAGGCCTGGCCCCTGGGAGCAGAGGCTCTCTTGCTTCTCCTCACTGGCCACGCCTCAGCATGGCTCCTCCCTATCCCCGACTCAAGCAGGTCCCCAGAAGACAGGGGCTACCGTGCAATGCGTGGCCAGGAGGAGCCTACCCTCGGCCAGGACTGAGAGGCAGGCCCGAGAGGTGCGGTTCCAACTAGACCATATGAAGGGAGTGGGTGCAGGAGGCCAACAGCTCACGGGACAGCGGGAGCCACCGGTTCCATCTGCAGCGATAGCTCAGGACGCAACAGACGTGGTCAGTGGGGTAGGGGGAAGGAGAGAGGGGAGGGAGGTGTCAGCGTGGTCATCGCCCACGGGTCCTCACTTCCTGACCTTGCCCTGGGCGGCCACAGCTTCCATGGCTTTGCGCACGGTCTCCTCGTCCCCCAGGAACTGCATGGGCTTGATGGGCTTCAAGTTCTTGTCCAACTCATAGACGATGGGGATCCTGGTCGGCAGGTTCAGCTCCATGATCACCTCTTCAGAGAGACCTTCCAGGTACTTGACGATGCCCCGGAGGCTGTTGCCGTGGGCCGCGATCAACACCCACTTGCCTTCCTTGATCTGGGGAACAATTTCCTCATTCCGAAAGGGCAGCGCCCTGGCAATGGTGTCCTTCAGACTCTCACAGAAGGGCAGCTGGTCTTCAGTGAGGTCGGCGTACCTGCAATCCTTGCTGATGTTGCCGTACAAGGGTGGTCGGGCTCCGTGGGCGGCGGCATGTGGAAGGAACGCCTCCAGATCTTCACCTGAGCCTTCCTGTGCTTGGCAGCGGTCTCAGCCTTGTTGAGGCCCGTCAGCCCCCCATAGTGGTGCTCACTGAGGCACCACGTCCTCACGACGGGTAGCCACATCTGGTCGATGGCGTCCAGCACTGTCCAGAGCGTGCGGAAGGCTCGCTTCTGCACGGAGGTGAAGCAGATGTCGAACTCATAGCCAGCGTCTCAGCGGCTGGCCGCCGCACTTCGCCTCCTTGTGGCCCGCTGGGCTCAGGTCTGCGTCGTACCAGCCGCTGAAGCGGTTCTCCAGGTCCAAGATGCTCTCACCATGCCGGATCAGCACCAGCTTGCAGGTGGCCATGGTGGCGGGCAGGGGACGCGGGGCCAACGCTAATTTTTTGATATATTGTAGAGACGAGGTCTCACTAAGTTGCTCAGGCTGGTCTCGAGCCCCTGGGCTCAGGCAATCCTCTTGCCTTGGCCTCCCAAAGTGCTAGGATTACAGGCTTGAGCCACCGCACCTGGCCAGGACACCCTGTTTTTAAAAATTAGGGTTGAGGCCATGGCTCAGGCCTGTAATCTCAGCGGTTTGGAAGGCTTAGGCAGGAGGATGGTGTGAGGCCTGGAGTTCGAGGCTGCAGCTTGTGACTAATCACAAATGAACATTCCATATATCTTACTTTGGTTTCTTGTCTGTCGCCCCGATGAAGACAGGCCCTGCACCATAGCAGGGACGTTTGTCTCACCGTGTTCACTGCTGCGTCCCCAGCGCCGGGCAGCCCGGCACACAGTGGGCGCGCAACAAACCGCGCCACGCGTTGAGACAAGGAAGAACGACGCGGTTGTGGCTGCAAGCGGGACTTGGGCCGCGCGGGGGCGATGGCCGCCCGCGCACCTCGGGCCGGGGCCCAAGAAGCCGCTGGGACGAGCCCGAGAAATAACCCGCGGCGAGGATGGCCCCGACCCCCCGCGACCGCC